AGCAGCTACCTCCATTTGAAAGAAAAAAGAGTGGTCAGGAAACGTAAAACTGTAGTTGATATATTAAGTTCTCAATAGTGTACTCCTCCAACCACCCTCTCCGCAAGCTTTAATTCATCCATAAAAAAGAGCATCGCCCTCTCCATCAGTGAGTCTTCCCCTCCCATGAATCCCTAGAGGGTATGTGAGCAGAAAAGTTACAGTCAGCCTTGGTTTGGCGACATGATAATGCAAGTATTTTGGAATGAAATCAAAGTGAGCGAAGACTTTAAAGTGCCCAGGCTGACAGTCATCGAAGTACGCAGAGTATCTTGAGCAGTTTTAGTTGATGTGGTTCCTAGTGCACCACAAATATGATGAGGTCCATTTATCAGTCAGAATCTAGGCTTTTCCAGCGCCTTCTACCATACAAAACTCCGTAGAAAATAATGGCCTTAACTCTTGTTTCATAGAGCCAAAGAACTACCTTTGGTGAGAATCCACTGGAGCTTAACGCTGTCAGTAGGTCGAAAATGCCTTCCCCTCATTGCTGGTAGCTGGACATCCGAGATTTTGAATTTACATAACCTAACCTAACTTTATTTTAGTCATATGTATATGTACATATGGGAGCAAAGTAAATAAGAAAATTATATAGACTCCTRTAATGGTTTTCAACCCAATTGCATTTTGGGTGAAGTTTCGAAATTCGGTATTATGCTTTTCACTCAACCCGTCAAAAAAAATTTGATTTGATTTGGTTGAAGTGTTGTAAAATTTCAACTTTTTTTTGGAATTACGGTTATAAAGTCTGTGCCAATTGGGCTGACTAGAGTATCAAAAATTTTCATATGAGATAAAAAAGACTTTTTTATTTTTAATTTCAAAACATTTTAATTAATAAGTACAAACCCATGAACTGAGATTGTTCGTCTAAATATTTACATCAATTTAATTAAAATTTCAACAGAAAATGCTTAGAAATCGGAATACCTTGGGTTCATATGAAGTTGAATTGCTTCAACTTCAATTCCACTGAATGGAGTTTCAAACCATAATAGAGGTAGTAATTTTTAYACAACATCAAGGGAAGAAATGAAGCCGAGGTCTATTAAACCGGTAAAAGTTGACTGAAGTTTTATTTCTTGGTGCTTCATTAATCTGTATGAAAATGACAATACACGGAAAGATAGTTATAAAATCCGTTAACTTTGAGTGATCAAAGCTACAAACCTATCACTCCTATTCAATAGATAAAGGTTTATCCAGATTCGCCGAGATTCCTYATATTTTGTATCAGGAATTTGGTTTAAATTTAAAGGGAGCGTTAGATCATACTTATGTATGTCTATACATGGTTAGAGTTATGAGCCTTAAAACAAACATCATCTTAATGATATGAGGAACATTAAGAGTTTCATTTACATCACTGACTTCTGTTTATATTATAAATGCAACATACAAGTATATCCTCAATACTACSTTTAATTGAGTACTTCGGGTAATAGTTCAGATAAGCAGAATTTTTCAGAATTTTAGCTTCTTAGTTCGTATGAGTATTCAAAGCCATTCAAAACGACCAGTAAAATGTATTTGGTGGAGCTAAGGTGCATGAAGCGCTTCCGACCACAGATACTTACGTTTCTCTCGCCAATTTGCACCACATCGGCCTTATCCTTTAAAGCCATCTGTATGGGTTGTATTAGCATAGAAATTGCCGAGAGCGTTGCTTCATGCAGACGATTGAATTCATCAAAGCAGCCCCAAGCGCCGCATCGCGCCAGTCCAGTTAAAATTAGGTTCATCGATTCAGTGTCCACATTCTGATTTAAAGGCCCACAACCAACCATGCATTGTGCGGTATGAATTTGCATTTGTATGCCGTTTTGCCATTTTGTTGTTGGAAAAGATAGGAAAACGAAGCTTGTATTAGCATCTTGCTTATCCGAGACCATGTGAATGACGCACACTCTTTACTCACCTCATCACAGTTGAAAACCAACACTAAGCGACCCAACATGGCGCTCAAAGCTTTCACACACTCTGTTTTGCCAGTGCCAGCCGGTCCGAACGGATTGCCACCCAGCCCCATATGCATCGCTTGTGTGAGGATGAGATAACATTTGTGCGTCAGCTTGGTGTTCACCAGCTTATTGGGATTGCCGAGAAATTCGTACGAGTACTCGAACTCAGCGTAAACCATACGCATCACGACTAAGCGTCCGTCAGTGCCGGCCAAATAGAACTTCAACTGGCTCAGCCAATGCCAATCGGTGCTGTGCATAACATTATGCTGCTGTAGGCCCTCCACCACCGACGCGTAGTGCACCAAATCGAAGAGCAGTGCGCGCAGTTTAATCTGAAGCAGTGTGTCGTTTGTTTGGTTTTTCATATTGGCGAAGTGTGTTATTTCAGTGTTCAACGCCTGATGCAGTTTTCGCAACGACATAGACTGTATGGCTTTCTCGGCTTCGTGGGTGAATTGGATGGCGCGACTGGTGCTTAATACTTGGATGGGGTATTTTCGCAGCATCGACTCGGAGAATTTGTCGGCCCCTGTGACTGTGTAGCATTCAAATATTGCATCCTTGAGTGTACGCTGTATGGAGTTAATTAAGTGATTGAGCCAATCCTGTCGAAAAGTAGCATGCGAGAAGAAGAATAATAAAGTCAAACAAGCATTGGTGAGTGGAAAGTCGTAAGTGGAAACTTTGTGTTTGTCTGCTTTGGCAAAGTCTTGTTTGTACACCAACCTCAATGGGACCCTTCATAGGCACGACTTGTTGCAACTGCAGCACATCGCCTTCGGCACTTTGCACAGATTGTATGGTGTACACAGTCGGTTCTTCGCTCAGTGATTTTGCTATGCCCAGACTATGGCAGCCGGGGAAGAGCTTTTTAATATGTTTTTGTATAATTTCAGCATCCTTTGTTGCCTGTCCCAATAACTCGAGTAAGTCATCATCACCAAGAAAATAAAAGCGTGGAAATGAATTTCGTTTGTCCTATATAGAAACCGAAGGGAAGACGTCGCACATTAGAGGAAGTATAGTGAATGGCTTACCATACAAACTTACGAAAATATAGGTCATGAGATTGTTTTGACAACGCGCTAGCTGCGTTTCTAGCGAATTCACAATAGTTGATATGTTATTAATCTTGGTAAGTGATATTACTCGAGGATCCGCTTGAATTTCACGCATCACATAGCGAAAATCCTTGTCAATACGACGAAATAGTGCCTCTTCATTACGTAAGGTGCCCGCACCGAAAACAGGCTCCAGATACACCCAACTATTTAGGAAAATATCAAAAAACTTTCATTAGTTAAATAATGTGCATGAGTAGGTACTATATAAGATTGAGTCATATATTTAGGATGAAAGCTTAAAACTTCGAGAACCATTCCGTGGGATCCGATTTTGTTCTCAAGTTTGATCTTTCTTTGCACACTTAGCTTCTTACCGTCTTTGCGATTGACTTAAACTTGTTAGAAGCGTATCCAATGTACTTAGTCGACTCTCCCATAAGTCTGCCTGATCTGAGAATGCCTCAAAAGCTGCTGAATTTTTAGCTGACTGCAATAGGGACTGATTATCGCCAATTTTGTTTAACACCTCCTGGTAGTCCTTAATAAGTGATAATGCTTTGCCGTCAGAATCGTTGTGATTTATCAGCTTTAGGTTAGCCGTTACCGACCACTGATCCAATTCGGTTAAGGCTTGACGAACAATTTGCTCCGAAGCTGCTTGTTTCACGAGTTTTGTTATTTCCGCAGAGGCCTGTTGGAGAGCTCCACAATTTTCTAATACATCACGCAAAAGTAGGGTGTGCATAGGTTTTGGATCCGGCTTGTTCAACAGCATAAAAATGCGAGCCCAGTGGCGCTCCGTTAAAGTATCGGATTGTAATTGTTGTAATATAGGCATAACCTCCTGTAGCCGCTCCACACTTTGACGTATACGCTTGGAAGGCAGATCGATGGACGCATGCACTGAACCCTCCCACTTATTGATGAACTCATTCAGCTCATAAGGTCGTCGACGGTAGATGGCCCACTCTTCATCGGTAATGCTGTTCAATTCAGTAAGATAGTTGTCATAAACTTCCCACTGTTTCGACTGTACAAGCATTTTTTCTTCAATTTCCTCGAATGGAGCCAGCAACTCTGTTGGAAATTGCATATTAAATTTACTGCATTCCTCTAGCAATTGTGTTTTTCTTGTCTTTATTTGCTGCCAATGCTCACGACGTTCCTTAAAAAGTTCTAAGGTGGCGTCTTCATTGCTCTCTAGTTCATTGATTGTGGATTCCCAGCGAAGCAGAAATTTCTCGGCTTCATTTTGTAAATTCTGCAATTGCGAGTGCGCTTGATCCTTTAGCATATCGACTTGACGTTGAAGTACAACCGCATGATTTTCAATAAGAGGCTGTAGCCGTTCCCATTGCAATAGAATATTAGCTAAGGCGGTGACACGCTCTTTGCACCAACCAGCGAGGCAGGCGTCTTTACTTTTTACCGAATCAAGCGTTTCTGATATCTGTAAAATGTAATATAAATTACTCATAGTGGTAACGGTAAAGACATACGCTCTAACCTTCGGTAGTTCCGACATCATTTTTTCATATTTCATGCCGGACTCAGTTATGGAAGTCTCTTCCATGGGTACATTATTCAGAAACTGTAGTGAGTTCTGCAAAAACTCCTGTAATACGGTGACGTCATTGACAATTGCCGTTCTCAAGCTGTTGGTCAATGATTCCCAATATCGTCGACTAATCAACTCAATTTCCGAACGCAATGGCGAAGTATTGATAATGATGCAGTCAATAGCCTCTTCGGAGCTATAGAGTAAGGAAAATTTTTAATACAATTTTGAATTTATTCAACGTCCGTGCTTACTTCTGAATTTTTGCAATTTTCTGGCCGAAATTTTTGCATGCTCTAAACTCACGATCCCAGTCCTCCGATGTTGTTAGGTGTATATCAGATAACTCCTCTATGTCAACACAACCTAATGCGACCCAAGGCAACCAGATCTTTTTGAATTCTTCAAGCTTCCGAAATAGTTCCTCGGCGCGTTCGAAGAGTGGTCCGAAGTAGCGGCGATTAATTTCAATCATTGTTTTGAATAGCTCAGTACTGTTGTCTGACAGTCCCCGAAAACTACTGGGTCGTTCGATAAAGCGTCGAAGTTGAGTAAAGTATTTTTCGCGTATCTCTTCTTCGGGTGGACGGTAACAAAGCTGACGTTGTCTGAGATAAAGTTATGAGAAATTTATAAATGAATAAGTATAAAGTGTTTGAAAATGATGTCCAAATTAATATCTAATATAGACCAGAGAGATCAGCACGACTGTATGCTTGGTTTTTCAAGCTAACCTTTTTGGTTTAATAGTAGATTAGACAGACAGACTGAAAGAGGAACAAATAATCAAATGCTATTGTAATGTAAATGTTCTCTGTTGCCTATACTACGAGCCGACAGCTTATGTCAACTACGTAAGTAAGTTCATGAAATACTTTTCATATCAGACTATACCATTTAACACTTTTCAATCGTTATCCGTAAGTATACCTGAATAAAATATCGATATGTATATCTGGCAGTTTATTATTCATATCTACAAGGCCGATGATGTACTGGTATTCCAAAACCTTATATAGTTGATGGTCCCAATGTAATTTGAAAGCATCCAAGTTGGTATATCCTTGACGCTCCATTGTTGCCACCAGCTCACGCAGATGTCGCATTTCATCCTTCCACACTTGGTTTTGTGTGAATAAATCGGTATTCATTAGTTTAATTACCTGATTGTTTAACGGAAAGAATACATTTTTATTACAAATAGTTATGGAAAAATAACAGTAATAACCCACCGATCTTTTTGCCTGCTCATGGTAGCCCACTAGAAGGGTGTTATCGGCAGATAGCTTCGAAACAGCACTTTGCAGCATATCTATGTAACGTTGCACCGACTCTTCATCATTCCAGGCCACCGTCTCACTCTGCACTACTTTCGACAACTCTACCGCATTCTTCAACATGATCGGTCTCTCACATGGTATCATACGATCGCCAATTGTATTGTGAAACGTTGCGATCTGTTGCAGACGTCGTGCATAGCTCATAAATTTGGCGGCATGTGCAGCTGATGAACGCAGTTCTGAAGGCACGTTGTAACCGAGATTTTCGAATTCTCGCACATCCTGACAGAAAGTAACCAATTTCGGATTGAATGTAACGCGCATTAACTGTCGACCTTCCTTCTCGAACTTAACGACAGGTTGATCTTCTCGCAATCTGTAACACGTACGTGTTGAATGTTATTACGGAACTGTTAAGTTAAATTCGTTGGAGAATGCTAGTACCTTAACTCTCCACTCTTCACGTTTGTGGAACACTGTCCACACCAAATCTCAAAGTTGGTGCGTAGTAAAGACTCTGTCTCCTCTTTGATCTCTTGCACCGCCTTGTTAAGCTTGTCGAAACCCTCACGACCACTGATCAAATGACTAACTGTCTCAATTTCCTGTATCTGTAAACCAATAATGTTTTAGTAGTAAAATGTTAAATATATTTACATGTAACGCTGAGTTAGAGGTCATCACCTGATATTGCACGACYTTTAACCAACGACATTCATTGCAAATCACCGATAGATGACCGGTATCGGGTTCCATATTCGTATCGGACATTGCTTTGCGCAAATCTTGCAACAGAAATTGCAAGGACTGCAGAAACTGTTCTCGTTCGATCGTCAATAGCTCTAGCACAGCTGGGCGCTGTATGAGTGTTTCATATTTTGAGAAAATGAATATAACTTGCCGTGGATTGCTGAGGTGGTTATGAAGTTGAGCTTTCAGTGCAGAGGCAATGCGTTCGTCAATGGGTTGCAGCACTTGTTCAAAGTGTTGTAAAGCTTTATTCCACCTCGATTGACCCAAAGGGGTGGTGTCGAAAATATTGACTTCTGTAGCGCAAATAAAATGATGGCATTATTTGAAAGAATTGGAAAGAAAAATACCTTACCTTTAAATGGTGAAGTCTCAAATAGCATGCTCTGCATTTCTTCATCGTCTAATAAGGTGGCAATTTGTTTGTAGAGATTCCTGATGTTCTTTATCTCTAAAATCCGTTCTTTAAACTGTTGTGCTCGCTTAGACACATGTGGCTCACCAAYCCAGGGATGCTGCACATAATTAGGCCAGAAGAGGCGTGTAAGTGAGTCACAAAGTTGCATCCAGGATTCGGCTGTATCAATGCATTGACTCATTTGCGGGTTGACGTTATGTGAGTTCAAACTCCACATATCCTCCATTACCAGTTGTTCTGCACATATTGCTATCAGTCGATTACCTTTTTTATAAAGGCACGATTAGTGTTTTAACAACATTTTCTGAAACTATGATATCCAATTTATTACCTATGATATCCAATAAGTCAGCCATACGTGCCTGTGGATACTGGTAYGGTAAGCGCCACAGCTCATCTAGAAGATTGTGTGAACTGTCTAGGAACTCTTCAATACTCGTGCCGGTGTTTGTATAAGCCATCGAACTAAAATCATTGAAATATTTAAATACATTTTGGGCGCAAATTTTTTATATACACTATAGCTGATATTTAAAGGTGCCCGCAGAGTGGACGCTCAAAGCTCAAAGAGGTGGGCCATGAATTACCTGAGCGGTCGTCAAACATCGGTACTATTTCGAGRTAAAAACACAAACCTAAGAAGAACTGAACAAGGGATCTCGCAGGGTGGTGTTCTCTAGCCTCTATTGTTTAACTTCTATATRTCGAAACTCCCAATGGGATCGTTGGCATGTGTTCAAAGTTAAACGGCTAAACACACTCCCTCAATAATACAAAGCGACCTTATTTATAAACTGGACGAAGGAGTACAGACAGGAGATTGCATTTGATGGCGTCAAGATTCCGACTGTCGCTAATCCTAAAATTTTACTGCGACTTTTGACAGTCTGTGTTCCTTCACTCCACATTCGACCGCGATTATYGCCAAACTACAGAGCCGCAACAAAATCCTCAAGTCGCTAGCTGGAGGCACATGGGGAAAATACAAAGAAACGTTGTTGGCAACTTACAAGGTAATCGGGTGCCCGGTCCTCAACTACGCCTCAACAAAATGTCTAATATAACACCTGCATAGTGAGATCAGTATGTTCCCAGTTAAGGAGCATAATGAACTCCTCTGCTAGCAACAACAAAAACAACGCTCAAAGCTGAGAAGAGCATAAATTCGCGTGTTGCGTAAGCGGGTGCACGAGTCGGCTAAGAAACTATTTAAAAGTTTGATTTAAGTGTTCGCCTCGACCTCCTTCCTAGTTCTGGTCACACTATCAGGTCGGAAATAATTGAGTCCTACATATTACATTGTACGGACTTCTTGCGTACTTTGTAGTATATTTCTAAAGGTGAACATAGAATAATAGTGATGAGATTTATTGAAAGACTTTTCATCTCATATACAGTGAGGATAAAATCTTATAGTAGAGATCGAGATGAATATATCTAGAAACTTTATTCTCCATTGTCGAGCTTCCGTTAGACTAATATTGAAACACCCTGATAGCCATACTTTCGGCGAACATGACTGCCTTAAGACATTWTTTGTGGGATGAAAACTTGTTGTCCGTTTAGCTATATTAAGCGTGCCACGAAACACCTTGAAGGAAGAACMGAATTCACTATCAAATATATTTATAAATGATCAACATGACGAGCTGAGTAGATTTATCCATATATATCTGTCAATAAATACGCTAACTAATCCATAATTTTTTGAGATATCGGTTGAAAAATCTGCACACAACTTTTCTTCCCAATAAGCTCCTCATTTTTCAGARCCGCCGACTTATTGTTTCTTCAAATTTTTGTGTTAAGATAAGATTTCCAGCAGATTTGCTAATGATAGTAAGTAGTTAAGAGTGCCAAAGCTGACGTAGATTCAAGCTGTATAAGCTTTCGAAACTATTCTTGTCAACTGTAAACTACAAGTATACAGCTTTTGGTTATTTCTTGAAAGACTTGGTTTGGGCTTTAGAGCCTTACGGGGTAACTACGTTTTGCGAAACGTTAAACAAAAAGTAATTAACTAATTTTCGATACCATCCGACGTATGCCGAGGTATATTATTTCGTTAGGGTCGCATCTTACCTCATCTGTTTGTCAATATTCTCAAGTAAACCAATAAAAGCTTGAGACATTTCACGGTCAATGCGAGAACTGGACTTCTGATTTAATTTCTGTCGCCAATGTTTAATTTCATCTCTCAGTGATGTAATGCCTGTAGAAGAAGAAAGGTTATTCACATATTTGAATCCTTACATTTTAATAAAATATACTACGATTATAGTACTTCAAATTAGTAATGCAGATATGCGGTTTCTGAAGTATGGGCATTAATTTGTACTCACCACTTTGCGGTAAACCCAAAGTTGAACCCAAAGAAACATGTAAATTTTCAAGCAGACCGCTCAACTCTGAACTGTATTCGGTTTTCTTGCAAAAGAGAAAAGGTGGAGCGTGTTAAAGCTTTGTGAGAAGTTAAAGTTGTGAACTAAAGTTTTAATGKTCAATGTGTGTGTGTGTGTATGGTGAGCATACTACCGTGAAACATTATAAGCAGAGCCATATATCCGTCTGACTTTGCTMTGCGCCCATATTATCTCTCCGGGCGAAATCACACAGAACCGTAAACTAGTTATGTGTCAATTAAAATAAAAGTGCACTAGCTTAATGCATGCAAAGCGGTAAGCCACGCAGTAAAGTGAAATACGTAAGAGAAAACCTCCACTGGCTATACATGTACAAAATATACATGTATATATGTACGATATGTATGTATGTATAGTATGTACGATTGAACTACTAAGCCGAGCTTAGCCGCCAACAACTAAACTCTACATATYCTCTGTAAAAGCACATAAAAGTGACCATATTGCAGCGTTAACTTACCCTGGCTTCAGCTTGCGGTGAGAATACACGCGAAACAGAATTGTAAATTGACTTGACCAATCCGCCCTCGAGCGTCAAAATACCAAGCGGTTGGTCGTATGCCTCTCCACTGCTCGCTGCTGAAATGTTTGCTGCGCCACTCTTGCCGCCGCCAGCCTGCGGTATCTTGTAAAATAGCAAGCAAACCTCGTCACCAGGTATGCGATGATGAAATTTTATGCTGCCATCCGATTTGTTATGCACCGCTGCGATGACGGTCAGTTCATCGTTCTCGAGGAACTCCTGTACGGCAGACAGATGCTCGTCAGCAGTCGGGCCACCGCTTACGCTAGCCGCAAAATACTCAACTGTGAATAGTTGAAGAGTGGATGAGAAATTTAGTAGGATTATTCAAGGCAAGAAACGCAGTGAGCAATTCAGATAATAGCGTTAATTATAAATAAGGAGTTAGGAAAAAAATACTGAAAATCGCTACTCTGCAGTTTACTTTGGTGTAGCCACAAATTTAGCTCCAGAGTACTTGAGGGCGATACATTTACATTTGTACCACACTGTGTTCCACGTAATACCACACGGTGCGGTGAGACTCWTTTATAATGAAATTTTAATTTGGAATATTTTGTTAGCGTTCCACTCACCAGAAGTGTTTATTATGAACTTCGACTTATTGCTGTTGAGGATGTTGTTGCTCATTGTGAAATCTATTTAYTTTTCTCCGAGAAACTTTAAGAAATTTTACAAATTTTTACACGAAATACTGCACGTTAGCTATAACTGTATAAATTTTATTGAAACTACCAAATGTCAATTGTTTGTTATGGTTAACGGTTGCTCTGGTTGCATCGGCTAGCAACCGTTGTTGGCATGGATTTGAAAAACAAACAGTATTGCCGCCCGCTTTCCGGTGAAATTTGGTGTTAGTAAACAACACCTGTTGGCTTCCACCTACAAATCGTGACACTGTAAACAAATAGTGGCAATTTTTGGCTGATAGCTCTTTCGAAACTAACAGTTGTTTGCTTAGCATGTTTGTTTTGGTCAACACTTTTAGGGGTGGTTTATGCTGCCCGGATTGAATKAGACAACAGCACGAGAAATATTTTTAATGAATAATTATATGCACTTAGTTTTAAGTATTTAAAATGAAAAAGTGCTTTTATAATAATTATTGGCAATAATTTGTCATTTAAGCCATTCATAATTGCCAAACTGGCCTAACATAGACAAAACAAAACCGTTCAGCTTTGAAGAGAACGGTTATACCTCTTTTATGAGGTATCCGTTTATTCTCTTGTGCGAATTCTACTCGTTAATTATGTTGTTGCTTTTACTCCTGGKTTTTTCGACAAGCGAGCAGTACACAAAGATAAAGATATTATAATAAAATTACTAGAACTGGCTTGTGGTTTCTGTGGCTATAGAATACCATAGTGCTTTTAAARTTATTCGAATAATCTGAAAGCCCATTGATCGAATAACCGGTTTGTAAAGAAAATTCGAATAGTTGCTCCGCTGCGTATTGCGAATAAATAAAAACTACTTGAAATCCAAGCAGACTTCGTTTTTTACTTGTTCTTAATTCGTGAAAATGACAATTGTGCGCTTATATTCTGCAAAGTTTCTATAAACTTTATACATTATGTGTACATTGTGACAAAAAAAGAGTCCTCAAACACTTTTCATAAGCACTTTTTGGGATTAGCTTCAGCTCGTTCAGCGAATTTTGAATTTATCTCTTCCATCGACTGAGAACGGGTACCTTTCCGATGWTTGTTGACTTCTTTGCATGTCAAATTCATAAACACTCGTTTCGTTGGAAGTTATACTGCTATCCATGAACGTGGGATCACGATCAAGCATATCCAAAGAAATATGTTTATAGTACTCTTTTTGAAAAAAACCTCATTTTTATCGGTATGAGTCGAGCTAGAACGAGTTTCATACCCAAAATGTTCACAAAAATCATACGAACGGACTTTCGATAGATATCGACTACCATCTCTCTAACACTTACCTCACGATTTTCAGACACAATATCCTTTACTTTTTTATTACTTTTATCATTTGAAGAGGTCGAACTTCGACCAGGAAGAGGAATGTCTTTAACGATCTCTCGACCGTCTTGAAGGCTTTGTACCGTTCACAGGCTTAAGTTTTTCGATAAAATTGAATCACCTTAAGCCTTTTCCAATATTCGCAACAATTCCGCACCCGAAGTTTGGTTTGAAATAAAAAATTTTGGACAAATTCTTTATTCGATAGTTTTATCCATTGCAAAAATCGCAACRTTSCACTGTTGGTTGACACATCRTGTTCATATTTGGAACAATAATTAAGGATAGTCCAACCAATTTAGCAAAATATTTGTTTTTGAATTATCATTTACTCGGGGAATTTAATGCAATTTCTGGGTGCTTTTTGGCCCCTATATACAAATGTACGTAAACTAACTTATAGAAGTTGAACGCTTACTATTCGAATAGTCGACAACGAATGGTTAATTGAATAGTCGATTAGTCGAATATCAAGAGTTCTAGTATCAAAAATACTAGTAAAATAAACGATTAAATACAGTAAAAATATTGCTTAGAAATTTGGCGAAAACATTATAAGAAACTAAGGATTTGTATTTCATTGATCTAAACATGAAAGGAAATGCATAGCTAACATCGGAGCATTTTRGCTAGCTTGCGAATTAGGGCGAGATTGGATTCGATTAAGAAGGTCGAAGCTTTAAAGTTATTGATATATATGTAAGTATATTGCAATAAGTGCCATTGCATGCCATTGGCTCAACTGAGTTTACTTCACCGGAGAGTTCGTAGTATTCACTCAAGCTGCTTTATGGTAGCTCCATTTTCTAGAAACAATCTGCTGCTTTAAACTTTAGGAAGTTTAAAAATTTAGACACAATTTGATTTCTAAGTTACTAATGTTCTTCTCTCGATCACAACCCGGTTTCAGCAGTATTTACATATGTCGCTATGTCCATATTGGCAAACAAATAGTTGAGATTATTAAGCTAACTGTAAACTTACTTACCGAAAAATATTTTTTCACTTATTCGGTTATAATCTTGAGATGTTTTTGACTAAATATTCCATATTAATGAATACTTAGTGTTTGTAATGCTTTCAATAATACAGTTCTTTTTCGAAAGCGAAATATATTTGTGAGCAAGTTTMTCAATTTGGTGCAGTCATTAAATAATAAAGCAGAGTTGATTGGCAAGATAAAATCGTTCGACTTTTAAACTAATCACAAAATTATTATATACATAGACTAACAGTTAGATGGTRCGATAACTTTTGGCAGGCAACACGGTTTTTCACTTTGCTTGTGCACATAYGCGCGGATGGCAGAAGAAGAAGTACAATTAGGCTGCCAATAAGCTCCGACAATTCCTGGCTATTTATATATCGTGCCTTGAATAAAACATTGCTTTTGCTCTTTATTGTTTTAAGCCTTTATTTTATAATTTTTGTAGATTTTTCGTGTGTATATTTTAAAATCAAATTTAAAACAAAATTGGAAAATTTTCTATACCTTAGACTCAAGTATAAATGCTTAGAAGTTTCACATGAATGACACAGGAATATGTTTGTTCTTGTTTTGTTTGAATATAAATTGAGTGTCATTTCCTTTAATAAATATTAAAATTGTTTGCCCTGAACAAGTTATATGAAGTRTGCCACAAAGTTTGTAAAACCCCGAAAGAAACGTGGGGGACAAATGATCACAGTGACGAGCTGAGTTGATTTAACCATATGCGACCGTCGTTGTATCTATATATACACAAACTACTTCCTTTTTGAGATATCACTTTGAAATTTTGAACATATTCTTTTTTCGAAAACAGCTATTCATTTGTTGGAAGCGCCGATATAGAACGTTTATAGCACATAGTTGTCCTACAAACAGTCTTTCATAGTCTAATTATTTTAAGGAAAACTTTTTTATTTATTTTTTATTTGACAATATTACTTCATCAATAAGTAYTGTCGTCACTCCTATGGTCACTTGTAGCTAATGAGATTTTGGAATTTGAAAAGAAAGCACCCAAACTAATAGCCTATGGAGACGACATAACTATACTTGTCACGGTGATATTCCTAAATACAATAAGTAATGTGATGAAGAGCCCTCTAAGGGTCATAAATCGATGGGCCAATGCTGATCATACAGATATGTTATTCTTTCCTCGGAGATACAAAATCTCGCCTTGGAATCTCCCGAGCCTCAATGGAGTTAGATTTACAATTAAGGAGCATACAAAGGAGCTGGTAGTAATTTTGGACAGCAAGATGATGTGGAAACTCAATGTGGAGGAGAGAGTAAAAAAAACCAATGGTGCTCTTTACGTATGTATGAAAATGCTAGGGTTTACTTGGAGCTTATCAATAAGCGGGGGCTGGTGATCAAATTAGACCACATACTCATAATTTTTATTAGGGAGAGAAGGGTGCAAGTCACACTAAAGAAAGATGGATAGCGCAGAAGCCTGCAATAGAGCAGCGAAGTTTGCAACATCTACACATATGGACTCAAAATGTCCAGTGGAGTGAGGACTCGAAGCAGAATCTCAGGCGACCCTCAAAGCTTCTTTTAAACCTGCTGCTTCTGCCAGGCGGAAGTATTCGCAGTTGGGAAAACGGCCGAAGTAATTTACAACGCAAGAAATAATATAAAAAGATTAAAAATGTTCATCGATAGCCAGGCAGCAAGTAAGGCAATAGCTCATAACACATTACGTCAGAGAACGTCCTTATAAGCAGGGTAATAGTGGATGTATATATGTGCTGGTTCCAGGCCGAAAAGGAGTTCCGGGAAACGAAGCAGGTGATGAGATTGCCAAAAATGCTTCCGTCTGGCTACCGAACAAGTATAGGAAAAACGGAAGTCACGATGGACAGGCGGATCAAAGCGACATGGAACTAACTAGACGGAGTACCGAACGTAGACATAAAGTCGCTATTAAAGTTCGCAAAAAACGTTTAACGAATTATGCTTCTTCATCTTCTTTATTGACGTAGACACCGCTTACGTGATTATAGATGATTTGCTTGACTTATAGTGTTTGGTTTTTGTTCRTCGAGAGATGACTTTACTTCTCAATTGCGTGCTCAGTCTGTTGGCAAAAGTTATCCTGCGTTGGATTTCCACGCCGACATTGTTGGTGGTGTTAATGCTGGTTCCAAAATAGACGAAATTATCTACGACTTCAATGTTATAACTGTCAAACGAATTCTKCACCTCAAATTAAACTGAACCTCCATCCAGCATTACTAAGCACCAGTAGGTCTATGTGTGGTGTGATAGCCGCCCAGTATAATCTAATTTGAAATATTTTTTTATATACTTTCATTTCAATCTGGGGTCTAATAAATGTTACAATCTATGCACCAAATCAAGCTGCTATGGTTATTGCCAAAGCTGGAAAAAGAGCTCACAAATTGCTGTTATATTTATCAACACATTTTATTTCAATTTTATCCCTTTCACGGTTTATTATAATGCACTGAACATGCACTCTTTGAATGGGGCTGCCCCAGTTGAAGTGGCAAAATTGGCGTATAAATAAAATTCCAAGATAATCGTAAATTGCTGCATAAACGAATGCCGCACCTGTGGCGTGGACTTCCAACTAAGCTTGTGAAAGTAAATACAGTGTCAGCGCTACAAAATATGTCTAT